AAATGCAGTAACAGAAATAACATGTGGCCACAACAGACAGTAAAGCACTATGCAGGCACGAAGTATCCTATTCTAAAAGTATAGGCATGAGGTGTTTATAATATTTTACATTAAAAGGACATGTGTCCATGATGTATGTGATGATATTGCAATTTTTATAAAGCACATATATATGTGTGTTTATACCATACATATATGTTTATACAAATAATTATTGAAAAGAATCCAACACCCTAAGAGTAAATAGTGTTATCATGGAGAATCATTATTTTTTTTATATTTTTCATGCTTTCTAAATTTCTACCATGAATATATATTTTATGTTTTATAGTGAAAAACATACTTTTATACTAAAAAAAAACCTCTTCCTATGTATATACAGATTGGTAATTTTCAATGTTTTAAAATTTATGGGCTTTTTTTTTCAAAACAGGATTAGAGTTTTAGAGATGAGAAGTTGATAGGTATCTTTTATTAACTTTGGTTGAAGCATCTGTTTGTGTACTAACTTATTTTAAAAGGTCTATTTGAAACCAAACTTTATCCCCCATAAAGTATCTTTCTTTTTTGCCTATGGAGGTATTTAAATAGAATACAGCTGTTTGATAAAAATGACTATGAATCTCACTAATAATCTCTGCTTCCTTTCAATTTTAAGACACACAATCAGCAATATCAAAAGTGGGCTAATTTAATTCCTTTGAATTTGTATCTGATAATCTATGCATTTATGTCAAAAAAAGGTTATTCTCAGTGGCCTGGGATGAGTCTCCATTGCTTTGAGTCCCTATCTACCATGTGGATAATTGACAGTTTGCTGTCTCATCCCAGGCATACATTTTCTTAAGAAATAATAAGACCAAGGGGCCAGAGGTTTAGCTAAGCGGTTCTGCCGCCTGCCTTGTAAGCACAAGGTCCCAAGTTCAATCCCTGGTACCACAAAAAAAAAGAAAGAATAGGACCAAGAATGACAGTCCTATTTCTCAGAAGTTTCTGACCCAAGGCACTGAGTGACATCTCCAATTATGAACAAAAAATACCAAGTGTCCAGGGTAGATATGAACTGCTTAAAACATATGAGCAAAGACAAGAATAAATATTAGCCAGCCTAGCACTGCCACTTATATCCCTGAGCATTTTCTTTCCTCATCTTCCAAAGATGAATTATAATCCTTGTTCATTCACAGCTGTGGGGATGTGCAAGCTAAGGGAGAGATGCAGAGCCCAGTGTTGCATGCAGAGTTAAAAGTCCAAAAATGGCAGATAACATACATGGTTGCTATTGGTTAAGAAACAAAATAATCAGGCACATATATTTATGCACAACAGGGAAAGATAAAAATATATCAATCATTTGAGAACAATTCATGGAGAAATGACAGCTTTCAAAATAATTTAAAACAAGAATAATTTAATATATTCAAATGCCACCATATTGTGGTACTCCCATGGATTACTAACCAACACAGGCTTTCACTTGGTTCAAAGCCAGCTTATAAATATGATTTTGAAGTAAAAATAAGTGATAAATAAAATATGATGATCTGAATGTATTTACCACAAAGTTGTACATATATTCACCTTAGAATGAGGACACATTATTTAACATGTGATTAATGCATAAACCAACATTATGTAATTATCATAGGTGTATGAAATAAATGATTACATTATAGATAAGAAAGATACTAGCTAAAAGTTTACTTGGAATTTAAGTCCAGACATAGGCTCAGTTGCTTTCCACACATGATTCATAAATCTCTCATATAACTATGTGCAATAAGTTACTATACATACTTTATAGATGTCAAAACTGAGTCATCAGAGGTTCAAAAATACTCCTAAGTCCATAAAGTTACTAAAGTGGATAAAATAAACAAGAAGACACTTATAGGAATACTTAACTTCATGCATAATGTTAGGAAACAGCTATAAGACCATAGCTTTAATCACTTCAGAACCCATTACAGTTGCCTCAGCAAAGCCAAAATTTATACCTAAAACAGCTGATTTCATACTCTAAAAGCTGAATCACTATTATTCTCATAGGCTACATTTTAACACTTTAAAAATCTAGATCTGAAATAATCAATATTTCAACAATTGAATATTGTTATTTTATTATGAGTAGTACTAGTCATAGTACCAGGGATGGAACTCGGGTCCTTGCACTTGCAAGGCAGGTGGTGGAACCACTGAGCTAAATCCCTGGCCCTGAACATTGTTTTTAAAAAGGTTCACTTTTTCTGCCTGTTAAGAACTTTCTTTTTCTTTTTTTTTTCCCCCCTTTTTTGTCTTTTTGAGGCAGAATCTCTTTATTTAGTTTAGGCTGGCCTTGACTTCACTATGTAGCCCAGGCTAGCCTCAAACTCACGGCCATCCTCCTTCCTTGGTCCCCCCAATGCTGGGATTAGAGAGGTACACGATACTTCACCAGGCCTACCTGTTAAAAACTTTTTGACATGCCAAGGCAATCATAACCAATGCAATTAAGACTATAGTCTTGAAGCTGTTTCCTAACACTATGTATGAAATTACTGTTCAGGAAGCATGGAATATTTCCCCCCACTAAATGCCAAAGTAGACAGGAATTCACTGTAAATTCTTTGAATCTCAGAAAAGCTGGTTAAGCACAGAACGCTAGGTAATAAACAAGCAGATGTATCTATCTGTGTATTTACTGTGCATTTCCCAGATCTCTATTCAAGAGCCAGGAACACATTCCCTCAACTACTGGGAATACTTGCTGCTGGCTGCTAAAACTCAGAGATGATCCCACTCTGGGAATTACCCTTGGGAACTAGCCTCCACCAAGGGAGCTGCCTTATCTCAGGATTACTTATCCTTCTCCCAGAGCAGCCTAAATCCCATGACTGAAAAGAACCCGGCACATCTCCTAGTCAGGATATGAGAAACTCCAAAGACCATCCCAGCCCGAGTTTCCACATGTTTAGTTCCCCCTTCTGTCCAATCTTGCTTGGCTCACTCCCTTCAAGAGTACAGAGCATATGTGTGAAATCTCCCATCTCCCACAATCCCAAAGCAAGTAAGCAGAAAAGCTGGAATTCAAATCCAAATTCATTTGACTCTGAGTCCTAGATTTCTATCAACTTTGCTAAGCCCTTGACTTATACAAATCTTTACATGTCCTCGAGATATACAAAGTCCCTTCTTATTTGACCACCCCCCACATGCCATCATTCACTCCCGCATAATCCCTGGTGCCATCACATGGCATTCTCTTGGAGAGCTCCTTGTCCTTGTCTACCTGATGAATGCCTCCTTCTCCTAAAAGCCTCACGTCAAGGGCTCCCTCTTGTGTGAAGCATTTCCTGACCCCTAGGGGAAGTGAAGCTCCCCAGCCTGCAGGCTCCCACAGCGCCTTGTGCATCTCGTTAGCATGGCAAATCTTAATTATTGTAATGAGCTCCTCTCAAGCAGGGACATGTCCTTTAACTCTGCTTTGCCAGACAGACATTTAAGGATGTTTTGTTAAATGGATAAATACATGATCTCTACTGAGGTGCTGGTCCTAGAGGGCGAGGCTGGATCACTGCCAGGATCCGCAGACTAGGAAGCATCATTCAGTGCCAAATTTGGATTGCCTGCAACCTTCTTACGCACAAGGACTGGTTTTTCTTCATCTTTGTGGCCTTGCAGATACCTAACATTACCATCTTCTGCTCATGGGAGATGCCTGGAAACAGTGGCTAAAACAAGCAAGGTCACTGCTGAAAGGGCTGATGTGCAAGTAAGTTACTTCACCTTCACAGCTCTATTTGAATTATTATTAAAATAATACTACTGTCTTAAGAGAAATGGGCATTTCCCTACTTATTTTCTTCTTAATTAATATACTCTTTGGTTCCAGTTTTAAAATTATCCTTTGTCCAAAATATTTTTTTTCTTTCTATTTTAACTGAGTATAAGATCACTTAGAGCTTGTTAAATTCCATTTCTAGGTCAGAAATCAAATCTAATGTGGATACATCAAACACAACTAAGAAGTTTTCCAGCTGGCCTGCTTAACACTATGTCTTTGTTTTAAGGGGCCCTTTGAAATATAAATATATCATTAATCTACAGGGTGGGTCCCCACCCCTTTCTAAAACAAATCGTTACTTACTGAAGAGAGGCACAGGTATAATGTAGACACTAAACACTATCAGCACAAAGCTGAAAGAGTCAAAGGAGATTCTTGTCCTATAAACACAAAAACTGAAAGCCAGACTCACCAGGCAAATAGCTGCATTCTCTACACAGGAAATAGCCCAATTTTGTTATTATTCTCAACAAAAATGTCCAAACAACAAAAATTTGCTGAGAGTTGGCTACAGCTATTATTGATGATAAGACACCTTAAAAACCCAGTTCTTTTTTGTTTTGCTCTGATTTGTTCTGTTCTGCTCCCCACCCCCAGTTCTTTTTTAATGGGTTTGAGAAGGAGGGAACTCTCCGGTGTATAAGAAACTGAATTTTCTGTGCCCTGTGGGTTTTTTCCCCCCTTCACATCATTCTCTCACAGCCTCTGCTGCTGGTCTGAAGGGATTAAGAAAAACTTTGATAACATTTTCCTGAGAGAGTAGCAGCGCATGTGGTAATCTTGTTCTTCACAAGCCTGGTCATGTGTGAACCCAAAAGGCAGAATCTGCAGCTTTTCTTCTTCCCTGGCATGTTTCATCAGTTCCTAGGGACCAAGGCACAACTTGCCGAACGTCTTTTTCAAAACTTTGCACACATTATTCAGGTCACAGATTCAGTAATTAACTGAATACAAGTCCTTCTGGCATGCAATAGTAGATCATATTATGTATACATTTTACATGCATCTTTGTACCCACACTTGCATACATAGGATAAATAAAAGTTTGAGCCTAACATTTTATGCTGTATCTTTAAAATACTCACTCCTTTTAAGTTTTTCAGGCACTGTTCTCAGTCTTAGTGATAGGCAAAGAGGTTATCAGATAGTCCAGGCTGTCAGGGTTTACAGAGTGTACCTTTTTAAACATCCTGGTGGAATCCTCGCTTATCTGCATGAAGCGCATGATCACATTGTTCAGATAGATGTCACTTAAGGTGGCGTGGTCTTTGCTCTCTCGCCTCACTTGGTTCAGAAGCAAATACCAGCAGTTAACTGGAGACAACAGGTTCTGGTCTTTCCTGAGAAGTGAAGAAGGGCAGAATTACATCCAGTTCAAAGATGCCCAAAACAGCTGAGTGAAGTCACTCAAGCAAGCTGAGAGCCACAACAGATGGGCTTTGTCACTATTTTTTCTTCCCCGAGGGTTCCTTAGACCAGGACACTTGACAGCCAATGCAACAGTCTCTCAGTCTACAAACAGCACTCAGCAAACAATTTGCCAGTGGAAGGAAATACATGGAGCAGAACACCAGTGTTAACCTGCACCCCTGGCAAGGGCCCAGGACTCTAACACACATAGTGGTCAGGGAGCCTTTCAGCTCTAAACTCCTCATTGAGGAAAGCAATTTATGTTTACATAAAAATCTATTGATTCCCATCTCAGACAGACTTTGGTTTGTCACTGCACACAACGTCTGCTTTGAATGTTCAGTCTACTGCTGGAAAAGAAATGTAGCTAGTTTTGCTCTCCACAGAAAATAAACTTGATGGTTATTTATTAATCCCCTGATACATAACTTCCAGCCTCTCAAAAAGTGTTTCTGGGAACCAGAACTTTATAGTATTGTGTCAAGGCTCATGAATAGAACCAAGAAGTTTGCTGGCTTGTGACTTGTCTTTTTCTCTACGGAAACCCACTGAAATATGTCAGATTTGTAACTGGTTCTTTATTTTATTCTAGAGAATAAAGTTAATAATGACTATGAACTACACAAAAAAGATGGTTTAAAAATTTCAGAGAAAAATTGCAAGTGAAAATAGTGAGCAATTGGGATGTTACTGTTTTACAAAAAAAAAAAGCACAATTTTATTTGTTTAAAAGCACACTGTAAAATTGCAAAATGACACAAATGCTTATCTTAACTCAAGGGCAAATACCATTTAATTAGATGTGTTATTTTACTATGATCCTAATCATTAATTCAGTTAGTAAAAAATGAGTAAGTCATGCTTTTTTATTAAGTCTCTCAGATTTTGGATCCAATCAAAACCCTCTGGAAGAAACAGGAAGCAGAAGACAGAAGCAGAAATGGGCCTTGGGAAAAATATCCATCAAGGGTCCTGGCACTGTACCCCTAGGGCAGCCCTTCACTTCCCATGACACAGGGAAAATTATATACCCTCCTCTAAGGAGCTCCCCTTTTTCCTCAAAACCATCAGGAAAGGAGTAATGGTTCTATAGCAGGTAAATGGAGCTTTACTACTTATGTTCTTTATCCAGCCTCAGGGTAAAGGTTGCCTGATTTATAAAAAACTTTTATATATATCTTTTATATTGAAGCAGCTTATAAATTCTTTGAGAATTTTTAAATTTTTCTTTATATTGACAGTGTCCTGTCCCATTGTAAGAATGAGTGTTATTCGTTCAATACATGTATTACTTCCATGTTAGTACTAGTATTAGTAATCATAATAACTTCAATAATAATGATACTAGCAGTTACCATACTCAAAGTAAGAAGTAGTATACAGGCCAAGATCACAGACTCTGGAGCTATTCCAAGTTCCTGCCCCAGCTACCTCTTACTAGCTATGCAGTCTTGGACAAGTGATTGTAACTTTTCTATACTTCTGTGTTACTTTGAAGAGGGGGAAAATAATAGGACTTATAAGATTATTATGAGAATAATTTGAGTTAATATATATTTTAAAAGCTTACAATACAATAACACTACAGGCATACAGTCTGTGCTATATAAAGTTAGTTATTTTTAATTCAGAAGCTGCTCTAAGAAGTTGACATTAATTCTACTTAATCCTTACCACTACCATGTAAAGCAGAGATTCTTTGTGTTCCTTTCATGAACGAGAGAACTAAAGCTTAGCAAGGCATGGGGATTTGATAAAGACCAAAGCCACTGTCAAAGTGAGTCTTTGTGTTCAGGGAGGCTGATCTAAGCCTTGGTCTTTCCACTATGCAGTGGCAACTTTACGCCAAAGATTGTTTCGCACAATAGGCAAACACTGCATAAGAGCAGACTCCAGAGTCCAGCCTGCATGACTGGTTACACTGCCATGCTGAAGGCTGAGAACTTAGGGGGAGGGGTGGTTGTACCCAACACCAGCTATCAAGTATAGCAAGGACTTTGTGATGTTCCTCACTTGATGGTCATAAAATCTCATTTTACTTGTTATGAAACCAAGCCTCAGACAGGGTATGAAATTTAACCAAAGATACAGAGGAGCAATTATTAAATGGCTGACTCCTTGATAAAATCTGTTTTTTGATTTTTTGTTTCACTCCTGGCTTATCTTTTCCACAAACTTACTCATTTAACCTTCAGTCTCATATTCAATAATACACTTATTCAAATAAAAGAAAATGTTAAGCTGTTCATCTTTTGAAGAAAAGTATCACATAAAACTGGAGGTCCCCTCACAGCAGTTACAGATACTTCTTCAGAGTGGGGGAATATTGCAGATAGGCAAGTTAATTAGATATCTTGTAGGCAGTTAGACAGGGCCACCCTCAAGGAGCCAACACAGCAATGAGCCAACATGGGGGACAATAAGACATAATCACTAAAGGCTAGAATTGTAAAAGGAGAAACTACTATACCTTTGTGCATCCCCTGGGGATAAATAGCAGTGACTGATATTCTAATAGGTTTCAGACACTTGGGTTGGGAGGCCAAGGTCTTAACCCAGCCTTTCCAGGAAATTATCCCTGACCCCCAACCTTACTGAAAATCCTTATATACTCTTGTTATGTGACTTGCTCCCCATTTGATTCCCATTTAATCAATATTAACTGGTGATTGTACTTGTAATCTTATTGGTTGGTTATGGTTTTGCCCAACCTCTTGCCCACCTTGTAATTTTCCACTGGGTCTTATAGTTTTGTCCTTCTTTCTACCCGCCTCATCACATGGCTTTGCTGTATAAAAATCTTGGAGAAGTGGGGTGAGCAGGCAACCCACTTTCTGGTTCCCCTTCTGTCTCTCTTAGAAGTTTCCTTCCCTCAATAAATTTTTCCTACTCTGAAAAAAATAAAACTGTAGAAACAGAAAGTTGCATCTAATTCATTAAGGAACCATTACAGAGCAAGGGTCCACCCATATTTTCAGTTCCAAACTAATTACTAATTACACATATAGAAGAAAACGCTCAAGTATATTTGTTGAATAGATGAGTGGGTTGTCTTCTTATTTGCAACTGTTCTTTAAAAAGGACAGTTACTATAAATGTGAATATAATACTGGCTCCAGTCTCCTTTTTCCAGCCTAGGTCTCGGCAGGTACATTAGACTTTTGGTCACCCTGGGAATCATCACTAAGATTTCTATACTGGACAAAACCAGAGGTCAAACTTATCCACAAAAGAAGAAAGAGAAGAAAAGGGGAAAAAGGAGCGGTGGGGGAGAGAGGAAAATGTGTTCCTTATCTAGAATAGTTTTGCCCTTGTTTCTGCCAAAGAACTCCACCCTATTTTTTTATGTAGGATTCAGATGATGGAAGGGTATAAAATGGAACTATAAAACCAGTGGTGGAGAAAAAGGCACGGTTCTCAGCAGCCCCCTCCTGGCTGAACAGATGGCTGTTCTTGCTGGGCCCTTATGCAGGTGGGGAGGTGGTTCTGTGTTTTACCGTTTCACTGGGTTAGCAGCTCTGCTGGTCCTGGGATGTAATATAGAAAGACTGGTGGTAGGGGAGTTCTTAGTACCAAAATTTCACCTTGCACAGACCTCATCTTCCATCTCCACATGGATTGAAGTGTGGGGGCACTGCCACCTGGATCTTCACTTCCCTCTTCCCTTTCTGTCCCTGGAAATTTCCTGTACTTTTCTTTGAGTCTGGCTGTACATTTAAAAGCATGGCTATTATATTTTAAACAGCATTTCTAACAGTTTTGGGGCAGAAGTGCTTTCCAGATTATCTGGGGTGCTGTTATTATCAGAAAGGAAAATCTACACTGCCATTTTACTGTCTCCCAGTAGGTCCATTTCTCTCTTGCCTCTGGGACAGTAGGTTCCATCACTCCTTATTCGTTTATTGCTCTCCTTACTCCAAAATCCAATCCACTTTCCTAACTCTGGTCTCTTTCATTGTTTTAAAATGGATTTTTTTCTACTTTAAATTCTCCAAAGGCTTCTCATGCCCTCAGAATCAAAACTGCACAGAACGATGAATAAGAATTCTGTGATCAACTCCAATGTAGCCCAGCCACTTACTACTCACCCCCAGTGGACAACTGGCTGTTCTGCAAACCTGCCCCTGGGTCCCTTATCCATGAAGTTTGCCTTGCCAGAGTAGCCTCCTTGACTCCCCAAGTGGTCCTTTAGGGCTGTGCTAAGATATCACTGAATGAAATCTAGCCATATATGCCCATTCTCCCCTGCTCAGCCCATTCTGCCATATCTGCAATGCTATCGTGTTGTCTATTTACCTGTCTGTCCCCAGGATTTAAATTATAAAGTATATTTCATTAACAGAATAACCTGTATTTTTTAAACGAATGAAGTAAAATTAATGCTATGTTCGCACATAAGCATTTTTCTAGAGGTCCTTGTTTGAAATCAGTCTTGAATGTAACAGCAACCAACCTACTGAACAGAGCAGGGATGGGAAGCATTAAACTCAATCAACTCATATTGCTTATTTTAATTTTACAGAAATCTGCAGGTCTTTTAAACAGCTTTCTAAAACCTTCCTTTTTCAAATATCTACCTGTAGCCATTAATAACTCCCAGTTTTTTGTAATCTAGAATTTTACAACATACCTTCTCATATATAAACTTATCCATAAATAATATTTGTACAAGAAACTGAAAAATTTCAAGAGACTATCATTAGTTCAAATATCATAAATGGATGTCCCTAAACTATAAAGGCAGAGAGTTGCTTTTGCTTATGGGAATATGCCCACCAACAGCTCCTCACAGAAAAATGGAAAAGACTAGAACAATATGATTTGGTAAAAATGTAAGAGGTATCATTATGGAAAGGTGCATTTGAGTTAACTCTCTCTTACTTGTACTGCTGATGATCCTTAGTGCTTCTTGTTTTTGCCATGAACCTTTCTGCCAACTTCTCTAGGTTCCGAGAATATTCTGTCTCAATTTCTGCTTTTTTCCGGAAGAAATCTTGAAGGTCCTGGAGAAGCTGAACTCGCATCTCTGTTTGCTGCTCCAGGCATTTTTGTTGTTCTACCAGTTGAGCTCGAATTTCTAAGGAATGAAGAGAATCCATTTGATGACTGTGTGAAAATGACTGATGTGAGCAAGATATAAAACAGGAACCCTGAGATTACATAGACTGTATAGTATACTGGATCTTTATTAGAGTGCTGTGTCCTGGTAAGTTCTTTAAAGTATCTGCTGATCCTTTAAAAGAATGTAATGAGGCTTAGGAAATTCAAATACAATAAATTACAGTAAACACATGAGCCACATTTATAATGTCACAACACATCATGAACAACAAAAAATTAAAGCCTTTCAGACAACAATTTTATAACATGGGATATCTATGGTAGGTGAATGTATTGTAATTTTTTCAACAGCATTTACTTCAACTATCCTTTTTGAGTTTGAATAGCAAGAAATGGGCATCATTTCTCCCAGATTTGAGCCACTACACATTCGCCAGTTGGCACACACAGAGACTGACATCTGGTGATTTTTATTTAGCACATAAATTTCTTGTTTGTAAAACACATAGCTTCAGGGCTTATAAGAATGCCATGCCTAAATATAACTTCTTTCTATATCCAAATAACCCATTCATAACAGGGCAACCTCAGATTCTACTTAATTATTCTCTTCACAACATTAAGGCCTGTTCACTTGGTCTTTACTTTTTATACACTGTTCAAATTAAAACCCTTATGGAGACATATAATCCTGAAAGAATCCTTTGACAATTTTAATACAGCAGGAACACGAAGGTTAGTTATTTCACAATTTAGTAAAAGCCTAACAGCAAAAATGTAGCATGTGAAAACATCTGTGAATGACTATTACAAAGAAACTGGTGTTTTGGAAAATGAGATAAAGTAACTAATAACTACCGATATTTTCTTTTTCTAAGCTCCAAGGCTAACCTTCAAAGACAAGAATATTCATACTGGAATACTACTTTATTTCATCTTTCCCCCTATCAACACATATTCCATAAATGAGGGCACTGAATGTACTCTGGTGGAATTACTAGAAATCAATGTTAAAATAACACTTCTTCCGTTTCTTCCTGTTAACCCTTTTCATTGGGCAAGGACTGAGCTGATGATCTATATGTATGAACTTGACCCTGTTTAATCAAGCAGGGAGTCAAGTTCCAAGTGGAGGAGATAGTCAGGAAATTTGCTGAATTTAGTAACAACTAATTATAGCATTTACTACTATCATTAGTTACTAGAATCATAGGTACTAATATTACCCTTCATTTTACAAAGAGTAAATAGAAGTCTAAGGATATTAAATACTTTACTTAAGGACTTTAGTTCGTAAGTAGTAATGTGACCTCCACCTCCAACCCTGACCTGTTAGTCTGACTAAGCAAACACTTAATTTATTGTCCTTCTAACTGACACCCTCGAGTAGCTGTACTCTGCCTGATCTATACATGGCAAGGGCAATGCCAAGATTGTGGCTTCAATGAGGTTATACTCCAGGCAGAGCTGCTTTGGGGGTGGGGGATGTCCTGGAGGAAGAAAAAGAATTTCATGTGTTGTGTCCTGGTTTTACACCTCTGAATTGTGGGGATCTGCTTCCTCCTCTTCTTTTTTGAGACCAGGTCTCACTAGGTTGCCACGCTGTCCTCAAACTTGCAATTCTCCTGCGTTAGCCTCCCGAGTACCTGGATGTGGATGACAGGTTTGCACCACCACACCTGGCTCAGAGAGATCCTCTTATTAACCTCACAGAAGTGAAGTGGACACCAGAGTGAACACATTATCACAAGCTTTTAACTACCAGGAGTGGCATTTGTTTTTTAGTCAATCAAAGTTAAGTGTTTTCCAATAGATTATTACAATCAGCATGTATGCCAAACTCTTTTTCTCCCAAAAACACAGAGCTAATTTTGTTTCATAAAGAAAAAAAAATTAAGGGTGGGGAAATTTCTCATTCAGAAATTCCAGTAAGTCTTTTGAGATGAAGTAATTTTTAACAGACTGCTATGCTAAGCAAAAATAAAGCATCTTTAGCTATCAACTAGTTCTCCCTCACTCCACTGTGTGTGTCGGAGCGTACAATAGTACACAAATTATCTGGTCTTTCTTAAGTCTCATTTTTATATCTTCTTTTGCTTGCTTCTATTGGATTTGAAATTAAGTACTAAGGAGTTCTGGCCTGGGGATTTAGCTCAGTGGGTCTGCCGCCTGCCTAGAAAGCACAAGGTCCCAAGTTTGAACGCTGGTCCAAAAAAAAAAAAAAAAAAAAAAAAAAAAAAAA